TAATATGATAAAGCTTAACAGTCTAGTAAGTGATGTTAGAAGCAGTGCATTTTAATTTTTTTGTATACCAACTCATAGTAGTGTTTATCAGATGTATTATAATTTAAAATTTATTTATAATATATTTATTTATCTAGCCATAGTCTAAATATTGTTGTTATTAGTCTTAATGAAAGTAGTGCTAAAATTTACGAAAATGAGGAGATTCGTTTTTCTGAGGAGTTCATAAAAAATACCAAGGTTGATTTATAAGTAGGTATGTATTTTTTAGCAATTTTATTTAATTTTAAATTTCAACATTTATTTTTTTATTGTATTAAATGGATTTGAATTTATTAACTGCTGTAATTTAATATTTTCACTTACCTATATATATGTAATATAAAGTAGGTGAAAGAATTGCTATCGTGAAAATTTTCATATGAGAGTTTTCAACGGTTCAAGTACACTTTTGAAGTCTACTGAGTCTAAATAACCAAGTCCCACATAATGGTCTGTGTGTGTGTGTGTGTGAATAGTCTAGCTCAAAAACGAAAAGTGGTGCGAAATTGAAATTACGTATTCATGGTAGTATATTCCTGAAATGTATAGATTTTACACATGTTTTTCTAAACCGACTTGATTAAATTCATTAGTTCAGTGTAATTTTAAGCAACTTTTAATGCAATGTATTATTATTCTAACTGTCGAAATTTCTGTTATTAAAGTACCTTTAAATTTTCTTATTTAAAATAATTAACCATTTCACATGATAACCTGCTATAGAAATGGTTAAATATAAAATACGAAAGAATTTGATAGTTAACTAAAGAAGAAATGAGGGTTATTAACAAAAAACCGAAGACACCCGTGCATGCAAACGAGATTGGCCGAAATGTATATCTGCATTCTTCAATATTGATGGACTAAAAATATTTCGTAGCATTATTATTATCAAATAAATAATCAAAATATATAGTTATAAAAGGAATTTTTAAATGACAAAAAAGTATATAGTAATTAATAATTTTAAATTATATTTTGTACCGTCGTTATTTTCAAGTGAGATTGGGCACGGTTGTGACAAATTTCATTTAAACGTCCTCAATTTAGTTAGTAAATTAGATAGAAGAAAGGTGGTTTTATAGTAAACTGTGCTCTTTACTACGTGAAAATACGTAGGAGCATTTTTTAAAAATTTATTTATTTAGAAATATAACAATCTGTCACCTGGACAATAATTATAGTGGTATATGAACACGTTCATACCATATATACAGGAAATATCAAATTAACAAAAGTAAAATAAATAAAAAACTATGTACAATAAAAAATAAAATAATCTACATATAAGTAAATTAAAAACATAATAACACAGTCATATCTATATACAATATATACAATCAGGCAGGTTATCCCAATCCAGGCTTCTCTCGCCAAGCATAGAAGGAAAAATAGGACTTTAAGAGATCTCTGCGCTACTCTCTCAACCGCGTCACTGGTACTAAAGCAAGTGGAGTTTGAGCGACCGCGCTTTAGCCACTGGAGCAAATTAAAGAGAAAATGTCACAACCAACCCACAGTAGGGCCATTCGCCGATCTAGGAGGACACTTTCAAAATATGAGAAATCTAATATATTATCCTTTTTATAGATAGTTGGTGACCAAAAACGTACTCTAGTAAAATTTCAAAGCTCGTTTAAACTCTTACAGTGGAGTACGGAAGAGGGAGGTTAAGTTACCGAGTTACACGGTAGGCAAGACCCCCTACCGTGTACCCTACCCCCCCCCCCCTTTCCCACATCCCTATAAATTGCATATCATTCGTTACTTTTCACAATTTATTTAAAAAATGCCAATGTTCTCATAAAAAAAAAGTGAATGAACTTTCCAAAATGGCGTCCAAACATGGCGGAGTGACGACTTTGACTGTAGTTAGTTTTTTGGTCACTGAGAATCAGCATTTGTCTTAATTTCGTTATAGTACTTGGCTTAATTTCGTTATAGTTAATCTTTTATTAAAGCTGGATATTCAGACAATGAAAACATGAAAAAGTATTAAAAAAATAATAACATAATAATAATAATTATAGCCTAAGTCAGGGGTCTCCAAAATTTTTAGCCCGCGGGCCCCATTGAGAACTCCACTTAGTCCCGTGGGAAGTATTGAGTCCCCCTTGTAAGACCCGCGGACCGTATTGAGACCTCCTTATATGTCCCACAGACCGTGACTCGTGCTCGAAAAAAATATCTTGTTCTATAAATGACATTTCAGCTGTGTAATGAGCTTTCTAATAGAAAAAACTCGTGTAGTACATGTTGTAGTGACCTCGTGTTTAAACTATTTACTAGACGTACTGTTACATAGCTGAAGCATATTTTCTATGCCTGATAACAATTGATATCAACGATCAGTCTTTTCGAGGGATCAAGGAGGCCGATTAATGTTTTTTGTTTGCTTCGAAACTAATGAGAGGAAAGTAAAGAGTATAGTATAGAAGGGGTCTGTTGCATCAACAAAATTTTGAGGGAGCACAATTTTACAGGCTCATGGATTTTTGAAGAGCCCAAATATTTTCAGACTGTGCAGGCAAGAAAAGAAAAAAAACGAAGAAAATAAAAGGGAAATTTAAATTACAGTTAGGAAGCGATTATAAGGGACTTCAGCCAGAGAGGGAACTTTATAATGATTATGGTTTATAATGATTATGAATTATATGGTTGAGGAAATAGATTAAATAAATTTGAATACTTCCATGATGTTATTATTTTTTCAATTCTCTGCTTTATGCCGGATAAATCCACTGACCCGGACCGAGGTGAAGGGTACAGTTAATTAATTATTTAATTTGAAATATTCAAAAAATTTCGGACAATGGCGGTTCCCAGCATTGCCGCTTTCTGGATTTCCTGAAGTTCCCAGCTTAATCCAAGTATTTTAATTGATTTTAGAGTATCTTTAGGAATCAGGCCTGGATACGATAATGGGTATTACTTTTACTTCCAGTAGCCGGTATAACTGCCTTAATTCCTTGCAAAGCTCTTGATATTTCCGATTTTTTTCACTTAATGTTTTAGCTACATTATCATCAGCAGGAACTCCAACTTCGATAATGGTGGCTTTTTTTGTTCCTTTGTTAACGAGCAGTATATCTGCTGTATTGTGAGGAATACTATAGTCAGTTATCATAGTTTGATCCCAGTATAGCTTGTCATTCCCTTTTTCTAATTTAGCTGATATCTATAAGAAGGCTGATGGCCAGTTATTAATTTATATTTTTGTGCCAGAGCCTGATGCACGATTTTTGCTGCATTATTATGTCTCGTTGGGTATTGTTTACCAGCTAATGCCTGGCAACCAGAGGTAACATGCTGAATCGATTCATTTGTGGCTTTACATAGACGGCATCTGTCATCGACTGCTTCATGTAGAATATACTTCCTGGTAGGATGATGTTGCCATTACCCGTTCTTCTATTGCCAGAAGGAATCCCTCTGTCTCTGGGATTATTAATATTATTATTAGTTTTTTATTAATTCTTAAGAATTAAATAATAATAAAAGGCTTAGCGAACCCGAAGGTTCGATGCCGACACCACCAATCGCTTATTACACACCTCCCTCCACCGTTCGCCGTCCAAACCCAGTCCCTTCAGATCGGCTTTAATGCAATCTTCCCACCTTCGCTTCGGTCTACCCCTCGGACGGTTACCATTCGGCACAGCAAATATTAACCTTTTAGGAATTCTCTCGTTACTAAGCCCAACAACTTTACAAGCCCATTTGATTCGCCGCGATGAAATTACCTCAATTATATTACCCGGATACAGTTCACGCGATTCGGCGTTGTGTAACCGACTGAACTCTCCGGTTAACTCATCCTTCTTCGGTCCGAATATTCTACGCAATACTTTGGTTTCAAAACTCTTAAGACGCTGCTCATCTCTTAATGTAAGCGGCCAAGTTTCGCATCCATAAAGAACTGTAGGCAAGATAATTGTTTTATAGATTCTAATTTTTAAGTTTCGGGACAAGACGCTCAAACTAAGTAGTTTTGTCACAGAAAAATAACAAGCATTTCCCGCCTTCTAACCTTAATCTCTTCTTCAATTTCGTTTTTTCTAGTAATCGTAGAACCTAGATACCTAAATTTATCTACCTGTTCAAACATATTACCATCTATATCGATATCACCAGTATTATCGCCATTTTTGCAGCTAACCATATATTTTGTTTTATACACGTTTATTTCGAGTCCTAGTTCTTTGCCGGCTTTCATTAACGTTGTCGTATTTAGTTTTATAGTTTCAACGTTCTTAAAAATTATGATTTTAAATATAATTTCTTAAAAGTTAAATTTTATCCACTCGTTTAAGTTATGTTAACCTAATTACTACTGGTATTATGACAAGTTCAGAAAAAAAAAAAAAAAAAAAAAAAAAAAAAAAAAAAAAAAAGATATATATATATATATATCTCCGTAAATAAAACACATATAAAGAGATTCCTTAACTCCTGGATGACCGCTTAGTTTTAATGTTTTCGTTTTAGGGACACCACATTACGATTTCGACACTACCTGTAATATGTACTGAGAAACAATGCCATTTCCATTCCTTCTCTCGCCAGTCAACTTTATTTTTTTTTCTTTCTTGTTCGGATTAACAGATATTTTGGATTAGTAGGGGTACGGATTATCTATAGAATTGAAATAAGCCACGGAAGATGTCATAGTGGGTACTCTCCTTCCCTTTATTGGACAAGGCATTATTTCCTGTATTGTTGTCTTATTTCCTGATTGCCAACATACTGAGGTTGGCAGTTACCAATAAATGTTTATGGAAAAAAGCAATTATTGAGTATGGACGACTCGCTTCATTCAATATAGTTAATATTAAATATAAATACTTATGTTTGTTATTTAAATCCATAATAAACTAAACTAGAACTAACTGACATTGACCAAGGTTGCAGATCCAGGCTCCTGCCAAGTGGATGGAGGGGCAGCGTCTAGAAGGATCAGTCAGTGCCGTGCAGCACGACGCTCAGCATGGCACCAGGAGCCCAACAATGTGAGTCCCTCAATTTTAAACAATAATTCCATAATGTGTATAATTAATGACAATTTTTATTAATATTAAGCTAAAAATAAATAAATCTAAAATAATATATTTATAAATAAATAAATAAAATAATATATTCACAACAAATCGAGCATATATAGGAATAGATTAGCGATTTATATCAATGTTATTGTAAAAACTTATCCACTTTTATTAACTAGCATTACTATACTAAGTTCCCCTTAATAAAAGGAAATGTTTAAAGCGGTAACAGTAGATTAAAAAAACCAAGAAAAAAGGTTCAGATTAACAAAGGGCCAATAGGAAATTCAAGTTTTGTAAATTTAAATAATTTATAATAGTTATATTTGCTGAAAACACAGGTCCTTTTAGTTGACAGATATCAAATAATATCATTGTTTTACACAAATTGAGGTGAGTTTCAAATATTTCCTAATAAACTCTCAGTTAATTCAATCTGGACTTTATGCTTATTAAACAAGAAAGTTTTTCAAAATTTGGTGTAACTGTAGTATAGTTGGATAATTATAAAAGAAAAGCTTTAATAATTTATGAGATGATTATTTTTATTACTTTTTTTTAAAGATATTTTAATTCTATTTTATTCATTTATTTTTATTCTATTATTACTATTATTTATATTTTCTTTATTTATATTTGAAATTAGCTTATTTATTTATTTTTTTTAATTTGTAAATATGGTTTGAATGTGCTCTTAGAACTCTATTATAAATGTCCTTTATTGAGCCAGATAGTAATATTTATCAATAAACAAATAATCCATTCTAATCTTCTAAAAATAATTTATGATTTTTTTAAGAGTTTACCATAGTTTAACTCAAAAGTCCTCTTTAAATGGTTTTACCAATAACTAAATCTGCTTTCATTCAAAGTTAATTTTCTCTAGCTTACTGTGAAGTAATCGTCAGTAATTTAAATTCTGTATTTTTTAAGATATAGCTTCCTATTCCACAACAAACGCGACTTACTAAAAAAAAAAAAAAAACTTGAATTTTTGAGTTTTAAGTTAAAAATCGGCCCATTATTAATATGACCTTTCTTGTAACTTTTGATATGTACTATCATCTCTTTATATATTTTCCTCTATTCACGGGACACCCTGTACACACTAGCGGATCCAGGATTTCCTATGGGGAGAACTTTATTTTTTTTAACATTGGTTTTTTATTTAATGGTAGTACTGTATAAGAAAACAATAAAAAACTATGCTAAATGATCTTCAGGTAGTCTTTGAAGGCCTGTTAAAAAAATTAATATAAAGTAAATAAAAATTGGTAATTACAGAAACAATAATGCGTTCAGTAGTAATTTTAAAAATATTTTTTCTTGATACAACTTTACATTTAGTAACTGTATATATACTATTTTTATATTTATATATACAATTTTGTATATATTTCGTATCGATAAATTGCTTTATAAATACTATTTTTAAACTATAACGCTTATAAGCTTTATAGTTTGAAAATATTACATATTATGATTGTTTAAGTATTAAGCTCAGATAATGCATATAAGCAAACATGAATGAATGAAACTATACATTTTTTTTTCCATTCTTGTAGACTTCAGTCCGAAAGCTCATTATAGATCTACCGGAGACTACATGTAACCTTAAAGTATAGAAGGCGATATTTACAATTATTTCACGAATAAATTCGTTCAATTAGTTTAAAAATAAAATTACTATAAAATTTTATTATAAAATTATTATAAAATTTTCATAATACTCGGAAATTTATAAAAATACATTTTTTTTTTTAATTTGCTACCGCTACTAGGTAAGGAAAGTATTTCGATTGGTTTTTAATTTATTACTAAAAATATTTCAAGTAATAAAATATTTGCGTTTAAATAGGAATTTAAGGCTCTAATTCACAGTATTATTATTTTTTCCTATCTTGAAAGAATTTTTTAGATAAATTCTAATAAGAATAGTCAACATAACCGAATTTCCGAGTGCGCCGTTTGACTGTGGAGGGAAGAAATTCGTGATGGTGGTTCCAACCTTGAAGAGAAAAAAAGACGCGGAAGAATTCCGGTTTAAGAACATCCTAGAAATGCTCGATGACCTAAGTAGATGCTTCAATAGAGAAATAACGAGTATTTTAAAAATCGAGAAAAACTTCTATAAAAATATAAATAAATGCAACTTAAAGTTTTGGTTTTAGTGAAATTATGTGATGCCTGACAATTTTTTTAACCTGCTGGATTCCAAACATAAAAATTGATTACTACCACTAAGACAAAAGAAAAATCTATTTTGGAATTATTGAATTTATTCTGTTATTATGGAATAACTTTTGAACATTTAAAATGCTTGTTGATCCGCACTATAAACTTTTAAAAAAATAATTTTGTGCATAAGAATTCTCTTATTTATATTTATTTGATATTCTAAAAATCATTGTATGAACACTTTGTATGGCTAACCAGATAATTTTTATAGACTTTATTTAAATTAATGACTTTGGGATATATACTTGTTGGTACATTATTTTTACTATAAAAAAGTTTAAAATAATACAATAAATAAATTAATATACTTACACGCACAAATGTATATTTATTTTTTTTAATTTGCACTTTTAAAATCATTGGATCGTTATGATTGAGTGTGAATGTGTTCTCTGAACACAATCAAGTGTCCTTAATTGTGACAGATTGTAATATTTCTTAATAAATAGGTTCTAAAAAAAAAAATATAATTACCTATTTCTATTTTGCTAAATATGCATTACTCATTTTCATGTTTTTCACGTAGACATTTTACATGCTGACTATGTAACAATTTCTGGGTTAATAAGGAACCTCGTATTCTGATCGGCGATCGACAATATAAAAGAATGATTTCAATAACTCAATCGAAATATTTATACAATGTTTTTTTTATTTTGTTAAGAAAAAAATATTTATATTTAAATATTTAAAAGTTGAAATTATCAAAGAAAATAGTGTAATTAATCCTGTAATCCTTAAATTTTATTGATCAATGCATTTCGAAAATTTTACTCACAGCACACTCTCAGGAACTAAAGAAAGCTGAAAGTCACTAACGGTCAAGGATGTCTCACTTTCTCTACATCTGATTACTTAGTTATAGTAAAGTATTATTTTTATGAGAGAAAAAGGTACTAACCAACTTTTTTATATATTTTTTTGGAATTATGTGAAATAATAACTAGTTAGTCACTATATATTGATAATTAATAATATTTTAGTAGTATGTTTTCTGATGTAGTATGATCGGATAAAAAAAAAATTACATTTTTATAAAAACAACCTGAAGTTCAGTATTATATAAGATAAACAGGATTAATAATATAAGAGACCAAATTTATAAATTTGTCAAAAATTATGTGTTAAATTTTGTAGAGTAAGATTTGATCTGAACTTAATCAATAATTCACGTCATAAAGACTTAGAAATACCTCAAGTGACTGACGTAACTAAAAAAATATTACAAAAATTTTCATGGCTCCTTAGCTGGACATCCTAATCCACTTGTACAAACATTACTAACAGACACACTACCACAGAATCCAACAAGGAGACACTAACGCTCTGGAGCAGGAATTTGCTGCATTAAAAAGAGTGGCACGGTAGGATTGCTTTCACTGGAAGGTTTCTTCAATCACGCATTCCAATCTCAGAGAAGTTCGCTAACGATCATCAAATTTACAAAACATGCCAAAAGGAATTTGTAAAATTGCTCAACACTTATTAATATTTTTCATAGCTTATTTTTATGTGGCAAATAAAATTATACATTATGACTTCAAATTTCCATCCATTGCAGATATAACTCCAAATAAATATCTATAGATTTATTATAATCTCCATAAAGATCATTCCCATCTAAACCTACTTTAAGACAAGTCCGAATAAGTGGCGGGTGACTTTGAGAACAATACTCAGTTTCCTGCTTTAAAACGTATTCTGTAGCACTATATTTCCGTCTAGAGTTCTCATTTAAAATGCCATATAAAAACTTCCTTACGTATGCATGTATATACAATTTCGGTTGGCTATGACTATAATCGTGTAGCTCTTTGGTCTAGCTTTTCAGACAGAGGTATATTACATGCGGGAGCGTAGACAGCCTTAAGTGGGTCATCCAATCTCACGTTTCTGCGGACCACGGTATAGTGACAAACCACTCATAGTTTCATAGCCAATTCCGTGGCGGTATTTTTCGCACAGATTCGGTGACAAAGTGGTCTAGACCCAAGTAATATGGTTTAAGGCACACTAAGACCCATGTTTCTCTGCTAGAAGCATATTTGTATATGCTTTAACCCGCTTAGCCACCCCCATAATTTTATATAATAGCTGTATTGTGGATATGAATTTTTGTGGAAAAATCCGAGTTCTAGTCCGTCCTGTTTTTTGAATTCTTTATTGGAGAAACTAATTTAATACTAGGTGATAAAAAATTTTAAGCAAGGTTCCCATCATATTTCCTATAAGCCTTCTTGGAATGTTGAAAAGAACATGTTTTCGGGACATTGTAGCATCAAAATGTTTGATCCAGCAAGAATATAGGAATGTATGTATAAATCTAGTTGGGTGTTTAGCACTCCAAAGTGTTGAAGTTTAAATGTATAAAATGTCAAACTGGAATAGTGTTGCCCAAATGCGAGATCGAGAGGAGTCTTGGTCTTGCAAACTCAGTCTTGGTCATGGTATTGATCTTGCGCAAGAGTTTCTCAACAGCCTTGCAGTTACTTATTAGCTTATTACTGTAGAGATATTAATGTAATTTTTTAGATAGAAGAAACCTAACTATTCCCGAATGAAAAATTAGAGGAATTAAATGTAAACGTATATTGGTTATAACAATTATTAACATATAGTAACTAAAATTGTCGACTATTAATAACTATTTTACCTTAATATTTATTTAAAAAATCGATTTCTTTACCAATCCTGGTCTTGGTCTTGCAACAGTTAGGCGGCCTAGGTCT